CCCTTATTCACTACGCCCGCTGACCTCTCTGGGCAAACTCACCAGCTGGGGACGGACGGCCCCAGACCCAGCTCCCCACTCCCGGAGGGTAGACGCGGCAACGCCCCCCCCGCCACCCCGAACCGTGCCTTTCACGCCAGCGGACCCCACGCCTAAGCCGCCACGGAGAATCAGATTTCAGGCCCCGCACGTGAGGATTCGCTGTGAGAGGAGACTCAGTTTCATTGTGTGCCCAAGAGGTCCCCGGCAAGGCTCTCGGCATCCGGGGGCATCCGGGGGCTCGCGGCTTTGAGGGAGAAGTCGCGTTCAAATGCTAACAGGGAAAGAAAAGAACTAAAGGTGGAGGCTGCTCAGACAATCCAAGGAGTGAGGACAGGAGTGGCCAGGGGCGCTTCTTGCCTTTTTCTGGCTGTGCATCTCCCACACTGGGACGACCCACCAGGGACCCTGGAGGAAGCTCTCCGGGTCCCTGCTGAGCCAGAGGCAGCAGGAAGGTGCACAGGGGCCCAGCAGGATGGCTGCTTGCAGGTGGGAGCAGCAGCCCGACCCACCGCCCCCCCACTGGCCGCCTTCTCACCCCGCCCCCCCAGAGCTTCAGGAACTGTGTGGTCCCTGAGGACAGCAAAACCAGGGCCAAGTCAGGCGGAAGCTGACCAGCACCTGTGGCCCGGGTCTCGGGCACTGGAGGGACGGAGCCATGATGAGGCACGATGTGCTACTTCTCCCTCTTGCTCACTCTCCTACGAGACTTTTCTTCCTGCAGCCTCCCTCAAGAGCCACACAGAGCACCCCTGTTCCTTTTCATCAACTCTGCCGTGACAAAGAGGGTCAGGGGCCTCTGTTTTGCAACAAACAGTGCATCCTGATGGCGCTGGTCCTCCAGGAGGGCGGTCGAAGTTTGAGGCGGTCATGGTTCACGGGATGTGAGCCTCGCTTGGAGGCCTGGGGAGTGGGAGCAGGAGAAGCTGCTCCCAAATCCACGTGGGGGTGTTTTCTCTGTGAGGGCTCACAGGGGAAGAAAAGAAACCACAGCCCCGAATAAAAACTCAGTGGTCATGCCAGCTATCCAGAGAGAAAGAAACACGAAACTGTACCCTTTCAGGCTGAAACAGGACATGTAAACTGTCATTCGGCATCTACCACGAGGCTGACACTCGACGAGGGTCTGTGAATAAACCCGATTAATCAAGACCCTTCTGTTCTGCGCTGTAGACAGTTTAGGAAAACCCAAGCGCATCAAGGGTCATGGAAGGAGGCCACATAAAGGAGGCAAGCTGGAGAGAAAGCCCAGCGCTCTCGTCCCAAGGGCTGTGGACCCCAATTCCTCGGCCCAGGAGCCCCTCCGTTAGGCGCTAAATCCAGATATTCCCATGCTGAATGTGGCCCCAACCCTAGAGCCTCAGAACGTTCTGTATTTGGAGAAAGGGTCTTCAAAGGGGTGATTAAGGTCAGACGAGGTGACAGGTGGGCCTTAATCCAAGAGGACTCACGTCCTTCTGAGAAAAAGAGACTAGGACACAGAGGCACACAAAAGGGAGACCCGTCAAGTTGGACCAGGGAGAAGGCGGCCGACTTCGTGCCCGAGAGAAAGGCTAAAGCCACCTGCTAAAGGACAACTGTCTCTGCTGACACCCTGATGTCGGACTTCTGGCCCCCAGAGCTGAGCCAAAACACACATCTGTGGTTCAAGCCGCCCGGGCCGGGGTATTAGCCGTGGCAGCCCGAGCTGACCGACACACTCTCCCACAGCCACCGACCTCCCGGGGAGCAAAGGCTCAGGCGGGCGCATTTGCTGGAACACTGTTGCGGCCTCGGCTCCCCCACTAATATACCCACAGAGAAAATGATAAGATCCCCGCACCCCAGCCGACTGGGACAACAGAAACGGTCCGTGCCCAGGTGTAGCACTGAGAAGAGGACGTGCCAACACCTGCCCCGCACCTTTGTTATTGATGGGCCCCCGATATCAGGGCTAAGGTGGGGCAGACCCACACAAGTGGTGCTGGCAAACAAGGCCTGAGTCAAGAGCCGCCGCCCCTCCCCCTGCTTCCGTTCTGGCCTGTTACCAAACGCAACAGCTGCGAACCTCTGAGGGCTCATACGCACATCTCAGGACAACCCAGGAGGTATCACCACCCCCTCTTGACAGAACACCAAGGGGGGCTGGAGAGGGAGAGGCGCGTGCACAGCGGGCACGAAGGGTGGTCTGCAGAGCCCGACTTGAGGCCCAGCGAGGAGAGGTCTCGGGCCACCCACCCCAGCCCAGTGAGCAAAGGAGCAGAGAGGGGGCCATGGAGAGACAGGTGCACAGACTCCCTGCAGAAACCCCAGAATAAAGGAGCCATTGTTATGCCCAGGCCTGCAACGGCAAGCATTTATTGATCTCGGCTTAATCAATATCTAACAGACGATTCTCCTACTAAAACAGAATCCTACACACCAGTGAAAACCCAACGGACTTTACCTGTCAGGGGCTTGCCCGGGCTCGGGTGGCTTGGTGGCCGCCTCAGCTTAACCAAGAGGACTCAGGTGAGAACCAGCTGCCGGTCACGGTCACGGCGCCCGCGCTCCCCACGGCTCCCTGCTCCGGCTCAGCATGGTGCTCACTCAACTCCAAAGCTGAAAGTCAAAGAGGCCGTCACTGAACATGCGGAACTTATGCAAACCTGCATTTTATGCTCTGCACCCAAGACTAAAATCTTTTAAAACAGACACACAGGATATCTTTTTTTTTCAAGGAGATTTAATTTAAAAATTCTTCAAAGAGCAGAACGAGAAAGAAGTCCAGGAGGAGTAGGCTTCTAGTTGCCATGTCAACGGACTGCAGAGACAGATGCCTGCGGAGACCAGAGACCAGAGAAGCAAGGAAGGCAGCTCTGGGTCCCAGGCCGCAGTCTGCATGTGTCCCCTCCACCCCCAGGAAAAGCAAGTGCCCCCCAAGGCAGGCGGGGTACAAATGCACAGACCTTTGCCCTCTTGCAAGGCCAAGTTCACCTGTAATTCAGGCTTTGAGCCCAGATCAAAGCCCACATCCTTCCCAGGGTCCTCCCAGAATACAGCCCTCACCCCACCCCACATAGACCCTCCTCCAGCTCAGCCCAGGTACCAGCCCCCCAGTGCAGAAGGCTCCGCGGAACACCGTGCACGCACGTTTAACAGGAGGGGGCAGAAGCAGGTGGACCTGCCCTTTGAATCCTGGCTACTTGCTTTGATTCCCTCATGCAACTCATCTTTCCTGAGGGATGAGCAGGAGGATTGCTCTAGGCTCGAAGGACAGTGTCAGGACCAAGACAAAGCGTGACTGAGCTGGAGGTGAGTTTTTAGTCACCTGGGCGCTCCCCTACAGTTTCCTCTGCAGGACAGTGCGCGGAGAGCCCACCTCCCCGAGGACTGTAATACATCACGTCGGAATGCCACTGACTCCTCACAGGTCAAATGCAACATACTCCCACGGGGACTCAGTGGGGCGATCAGCACAGAGCAAGCGTGAGTCCAGGAGAGTCTTCAACAGAGCTGCTGCCTCTGTGTTTGAGCTGGTCCACGGGCTGCGACGTGGGTGCCCTTGGTGGGGAGAACAGAGCCCTAAACTAATTCTTCCTGATCGCTCCACAGTGGAAATAAACCCTGCCCTGCCTCTGACCTGCTAAGGAAGAAGTCATGGACCTAGAACTTACTAGAAAACCAGCATGGTGCAAGAGCCAGAGAGCCTCTTATCTCCCGACACCACCCTGTCTCAGCAGGTGACAGCTGGGGGAGGCACTAAGCCTCTGAGGCCCTTGCTCCAAAATCAACATGACAACAGTATCTCCATCTAGAGTTTTTTTTTTTTTTCTTTTTTCTTCCATCTAGAGCTTTTAAGAGGAAGAAATGAGCCTGTAAAGCTGTAGGACCCAACATACGGTAAATATTAAAGGAATATACTAGATATGAACCATGACGCACCCCACAGTTCCCCCACGATCAGGTGCTAGACACTTGGCCACTAGCAAGCCTGCCGGCGTTCAGACGGGATGCTGATCTTAGGATTGAAAGGGGGACGCAGGATACAGGATTATGTGCCTGCTCAACACTGAACAGCACCCGTCGATGCAAAGGCATTTTTAGTGAGGGCACCTGCCTTCACCCTCTCAAAGAATGCGCAAGTCTGAAACAGATCATAGCAATTATGTCCAGGGCAACATCTCTAAATTCTAGTAGCTAAGTTGACCACAAATTAAAAAAAAAAAAAAAAAAAAAAAGTGAATGATCAAAGGAGAATGAGGGTCTTTGAAACGACAATGGACTGGAATGTGGGAGAACAGGACTTGGGTCACGTAACACTTCTGCTCCTGAAATTCTGAGACATTTCCCATCTTTTCCAGAGAAACTAGTCTTCCCCTGGATTCTGATCCAAATGCCCCACGACTGCTTCCAAATGCGTCTTTTCTGCATAGGCCTTTAAATTTGCAACATACGCTTGGGAGGCTTGCCTTATTTTACAACGGGCAACATAAATTCATCTACCACTCGAGAAAAATGACACGCAGTTGCTTGTCAAACTCATCGCCACTTCGACCACTTCTATTTTTAAGAAAGTGGATATTGAACTTCCCAGCAGACAAAGACAGGGATGATTTCTGAACGTGGTGAGCAGGCAGATCTACTGAGATGCGTCCTCATCAACAGCAGGACCAAGCAAGAGGCACAGAGCCCGTGCTTCGAACAAGCCTCCAGGCTCTGCGAGCAACAGCCCGTCCTCACCCACGGCCACTGTCACCAACACCGGCGGAGCCACTGCTGGGGTGCTGACACCGAACAGAGTCACCGACACTCTGCACCCTTCGCCCGTCAATCAAGACAGCGCGTCCCCTGCAGGCTCCCCATCAGACACGACATGAACTTGAAATCCTATGTGCATGAACCTGGGCAAAACCAAACGTCTTTACTGACTTCCAAAGTACGTCAGAAACAAAGGACCCCTTGATTTCTGTGTAGCATCTGGGATATCTTCCCAAACTTCCAGAGTTTATATTAATCTTTCCTTCAGTCTAGCTTTCGCACACTAAATATTTAGAGACATAACAGTGACTATTTAGACACTCAACAAATCCCACCTTCCGTGACGAGGATATTCAGCGTGTGCGGCCACACTGCTCTGGAACAGTCTATGCCTTCGCAAAAGGGGACTGAATGCCCTTAATTTAAAAAAAATAAATTCAATATTGTACGGATAGCGGAGTCCACTTGTGACAGCAAATTGAGAAAGACAGACTGAGAAAGAGATCAATGGAATGGAAGTGAAGGAAAAGTCATTATAAAACGTCAGAACGCTAGTGCCGGAACCTGAGGACAGCCTTTAAAAGAGAAGCAAAAATTAAGCCAAAATTCCGAAATTCCACAGCTCATGCCACTTTTAGTTGGTGTTCCTACAGCCAGAAACGCCATCGTGACCCCCCCGCCCCGGCCGAGAGGGCGGAATGTGAGGGCAAAGGAAAGTGGCCGCACCCAAATGCCAACCTCGTCCTCTCGAACCACCCAACACACAGGAAGCGTTCAGCACAACGCAGCAGGGACTCCATGGCCCGTGCCCAGGAAGGCCCTCCCTCCGTGGCCTGTCCACCAGCAGACCCTCAGGGGCTCCCACAGGGATGGCAAGCTGGCCCAGGTCAGGGGGTCCCATCCCAACTGGCTGCCATCACAGAAACTGCCCCGACTTAATCAAAATGTACGCACGGGCCCAGAACGGGGTTCTCAACTCCACAGTCAAGCAGAACCAACAATCCTACCAGTCCTCACCGTGGGGCTTCCAGGAGCCACCGAGCAAGCTCAAAGATGGGCTCTCCAAAGGACCCCTGCCCGAGGCCTCCCCGACTGGACATGCAGCAAGACGGGGGGCTGCCGCCTGGAAAGTCAGCGGGACAGCAAGGGACAGGGTAAACGCACACGCCCACGGACACGGTGACTGCCCGGAGAATGGGTGAACAGCAAACACACACATGCACGTTTTAGCTCAGTCCCAAGAACAGAAGAACAGTCCTGCGTAAACTAAAGAACGTCGCCTGGACTAATGGAAACATGCGAAGTTCCCAAATGGGAAGATGCTCTTCAAAGCAATCAACTGAGAAAACTAAAGCTAGTTTTGTAAATGAGGTGCAGTTATCCATCTAAATGCATTAAAACTAACAAGATCAATCATGAGACCACCGACTATACCACATTAAGGGAGAGTTACTCTCATCTCAGAGTAAATTATAAAGCAAAAATAGTTAAAATAGTCTGGTACCGGCACAGAGCTACATGCAAGAGGGTTCATCAGAAAGACTGGGGCTGACCAACAGGAATGTTCGGATTTGCATCACGTGCTCCATGAAGCAACCTAGTAAGAACGTGTCCGAATCATCAAGCTTCCACAACCTGGCACGCAGGATCCGCGGGGCTGAAATCCCGGGGTTGACCAGCTCTCTCAGACGGTCCTGCTGATGCCACGGAGGATGAAGGGGATGGCCATGATGCCCACGGATGGCGATGAGAGCCACCTTGATTGACAGCCTGTCATAGGTCACACGTCTCACCAGATGCTCAATAACCAATAATCAAATGGTTCCGAGGATTAAGGTGAAACAAGTAAATGCAGAGAAGACATATAATGAAATGTAAAAATGAATGGTCCTTACTTAAGAACACGGAAATACTGTCAATCCTTCAAAGCAGAATCATTATCCCATTTCAGGGATGAAGAAACCAAGGCTAGGATACAGTGAGTACCTCCCAAGCTCCCACAGCTAAGAAATGGAAGAGCTAGGACTGAATCAACACGTATTTGGATCTGGCCCACCTATTTTATTATTTTGTTGATGAACAGCATTTGTAGGATAAGAAGAGAATAGAAAAATTTTGGCACTCAGTTACCACGTTTCTCCTCATTTTTGTTCTTTTGGATCACATTGTTTGGACCATATTTTATCATTTTATTTTAGAGAAGGAAAGGAAAAAAAAGGTCCAAAATAAGAGCCTGAAATTCCAAGCACAGAGGGTAACGGGGGCGGGGAGGGGGGAGTTCCCCTGCTCGCCAGTGATTTGCAGGTCAGAGATGGGGTGTAAAAGAGGGAACACTCCTGACCTAATGAAAGCATCTACCAGAAACATCCAGCAGCCAAGTGGCCTACATAATGAGGAGGCACCCGAAACCTTGCCCTTAAAATTAGGGCCAGCAAGCCCAGATGACAGCAAGCCCCATGGTCACCCCTCCAGATGATACAGCGAAGTACAAAACAGAAACCAGGCGGAGAAGTTGTCTAGAAAAAGCTAAGAAGCCAGCGTTATTTAGAGGAAATTCAGGAACACCAGCTGTAGGCCAAGCTCCTGTCAGCATTTAATAAGGTCGGGATCCCAGAGCGACCCCCCCGCCCTCAGTCTTTCAGGCAACAGCACCAGGCCGGTTCCAAAGTGTAGCGGTAACGTGGTTTTATTCATAGAAGCAACAGAACTAACGTACTTAAGAAGTACGTACGAGATCCCGAGGAAAACCCAGAAACTCTGGTGAAGAACCTACAAGAAATCGGAAAGAAGACGCCAAGGTGCAAACACAGCACTTTCTGGGAAGGGAAGCCCTCCCCTCGCTGCTCCTGCCCCAGGAAATGGGG